TTAAAATATACCATACCTGACTTAACAAGAAGACTTTTGCTATTTCTGTAATAAACATAAACTGACAAATACAGCATCCTGGGGCATAACATAGGATGTCCACATTTACTTTTGCAATTCAGCTTGAAGATCAGATGTTTGTAACATGACATCACTTAGTGGTATTCATCTTAAGCAGTTTTATCTAATGCATATTTGAATATTTTGATAGACTTTTAAGAATTAACATTATGTATTAAATTTATATCATATATGTATATCTATGCCTTTTACTCTTTTATTTTGATTATTCTTCAACAGAAATTCCCTGAAACTAAAAATGCCTCAACTACACATGAATGAATCTGAACATAGTGCCCTTGCTGAGACCACCCTACCCTCTCCCCACACCATCTCCTTACTCTGACATCAACTCTTACAAACTTCCACAGTTTCAGTTAGAGCCAATCCTAACTCCCTCATTTTCAGAAAAGATTGTTTGAAGAAAGAATGTAAAATGTATTTTAAGCAATCATCAGTTCTTTATTATGGAGAAGCCCAGGGGTTCCCAAGGGCAACCAATTTATGTCCCATATTTACCTGACTACTTAGCTAAGGGATGTTTTCAAGTTTCAATCAACCTATCTTCATATAGTACCCACATCCCATTCATTCTCCCTTTGCCTTCATGCATGTGCAAACACATGTACACCCCCCAACCCAGTTCACTAAGACCTAAGAAATGATCACAAAGTTCCAAACCCTGTAGGAGTTACTTTATTTATTACCCCATTTAAGTTCCTAAACTAATTCTTCAGAAGAAAAAGTTGAGGTTCAGATCTACGAGTAACTTCACCAAAATAAAAAAGCTACTAAGTGGATGGACTGAAAGTGACACTGGAGTTCAAGGTACTAGGCTCTATGTCACCTCTCACAAGTGAGGTTCCCAAAGTGGCGAACTGGATCAAGTAGCCCAGCACAGGAAAAGAGCATCAATATGAGGGCAAGAGTCAGAGGCAGCCCAATCTCCAGATCTAATCTCCAAAACTATTCCCCCCTTTAATCGACCCTGCAAATGAGGTTCTCATGCCAGAAACAAAAAACACTTTAGTTAAAGCAGACCTAATAGATACAAATCATTTCAAGTGGCAGATTAAACACAGTAATTCAGGCAGAGGATCCTAAAGATACCAATCTCAGAGGAACATTAAAGGGCATATAATAATTATACTCAGCACAAATTCTCATCTACCAAATAAATGTAGGCCACAATTAGAGTGCCTTTCGTCTAGAAAGATGGAACTGTAAGTTTTGGTGATTTTACCACAATCCTGTATGCAAGCCATGGATTCAAGATAGAGCAATTGGAGGTGTTTTAACTAGATACCTCCCTGTCTTTGTTTTGGAACAATGAGTTAGTGTACTACAAAGGACTAGGACTATCTTTATACATGCACTTTCCTACAAGAGGGCATGGATACACCTGAGATTACACATAATGAACTCACAAGTGCTATGTCTACAAGACTGGAGAAGGGGACACTGCACCAGTTCAGCCAAGGCAGAGAAGTCAAAGAAGGAAAGAAGTTATATGTAAGGGAAAAAGGGTTAAAAGGTTAAAGCAAGTTTTGGTAATACATTTGCCAATGTCTCACACTAAAAAGTGGGAATTAGGAATACTACCAAGAGCTCAGTCCAAGATTTAGAATGACTTATCAACAGCAATCTTTAATTTTCATTCCTTGAAAGATATTAAAAATATATGCTCTTTTAATGAATATAGTTTGAAAAATCAGTAAGGTAGTAGGGATTTTTCTCTAAAATACTGTGATTCAGTCAGAATCCTCATTTCACAGAACACTGAAGTCAAGAAAAGTAGAATAACTTACTTAAGAGTCCAAAGAGAGGGTGAATTGGATATACTAACTTGGTGACAAGGATTCATGAACCAAGTTCATTTCTCAACCAACTCCAGGTCCATGGCATCCCTATTTCTTTTCTTCAGAATTTTAAGTCCTTGTATGAATTTCATGCTAACACATCCCACCTGCCTTAGAAACATTAAATGTCATTCCCTTACTACATGTCTCCAAAGCATGATACAACACATGTAGATAGAACCACTTTTCAAAGGCTAAGGAGATTAAAGAGGGAAAAAAGAAAAAGGCAGAGAGATTGTTCTAAAAGATAAAATTCTAAAAAAGAAAACAGTAAAACCAAAAGCAATGTGTGACCATTGATTAGATTCTGCATGAAAAAAGTATTATAATTAGGAAACTGCAAATTTTTTAATATAGACTAAATATTTTTTAAATTGATTGTTTCAACATTAACCTCTTGACTGATAAACAGTAATAATGACTGTCCTTGTTCACAGGAAATATATGATGAAAGAGTCAAAGGTGAAGCACTTGTCATAGAGACTATTATTTCAATTAGGTTCCCCCAAAAAAGTTTGGAGGAAAGTATGTATGAAAATTTTAATGGTTTGCAAGTTGACATGAAGTCTAGTTAAACTATTATTACAACTTGTCTGCAGGCTTACCATTTTTAAAAATACTATTAGAAGGAAAAAAACAAATCACTCCTAGTAGAAAAATGTGATTTTTTTTTTTTAAAGATTGTGGTGACAAAAAAACACAAATAAGTATCTCAGGATGTTGCCCTGTCTTCAAATAAATTTAGGGTTTGTAATCACCAAACAATATTATTAAAAGAGCTTCTCTGCATTTAATAGGATCTTCCAATGAAGGAGCAAGATAATTGTTGTTACAAAGTCTAGTAGGGCTTTTATGAAATCTGAGACTTGCTATAAAAATCAGCAGGGGAAAAATATACAGGGTTAGCTTTCAATGATTTGAACAATAATAAAATTATGGGTTGGTTTTTAGCTGCGTTTTTGATCAAAGCTTTATACTTTTTCATGACTAAACAAGTACTACTTCTACTTCCCTTTTTGAATGAGAAGTAAGGCCAGCCTTAACAAGTCCCAACTTGAGACAGCATAATACGCTTTAAGACTATGCATAAAGGCTGGCTCATGTTAACTTTTTCATCACTAGACTTGATTTGCAACACTGGCAAAAGAAGTTTTTAAATACAACCATCTGACTTACTTTCCCCCCCAAAGAGAAAAGTCTATTCTAGTCTAAGCCCACGAGGAGAAAAAAAGAGGCCACCTACGAAAGGGTCACCCGCTGCTTTTCACCTTTGTAAGTAAAGCTTTATTAAAACACAATAAACACAAATCATCTAGCACTAAAGTGCTCCACTTTATGGAAAAGCTCGACCTTTTTCTTCAAATATGGAAAGGTCTATCAAAATCTCTTCACTCATTAGTCCTCTTTCAAGAACTCTTTTTAAAAAGTCTCAAAATATAAGCCTGAATTATGAAATCATGTTCTCTTCAATGTCAAAATAGGAAAGCATGTAAAAAATACTTTTAGTAGCTCTATACAAAGGACATTTTCTTTAAAGTAAAAAAAAAATGATAATTAAGTTAGCTGATCCTATTATGATGAAATCAACCCAAGTAATAAATAGATTAAAATTTAAGGTAAATAGTACAATCCCCTTTTTTCTTTTAACAGAGGTTTGTAAAATATCTTATCCAAATAAACTCTCTAATATGACTACATAATACCACTGGAAGTTTGCAAAGTTAATTCTCAAAACTTGAGAGAAAGTATTTGCTCCACATATTTTTATGGTTCTCTCCTTTGAACTGGTTCTTTTAAGACTTGGCAGATGGTTACTCTGGCAGTTAGATTCCACATTATGAGCAGTATATCACTTATAACTTATGGATCACAGTGACAACTGACAACAATTTCAATTCAAGGACAGTCCTTCAAACTAATCTGTATGACATAATCCCCTAAAATGCACTCCTGGCATCACTGCTAAAAAGTAAAACCCATGGCGATCAAATATAAAATAGCGCAAATATAAAATAGCACAAGCAGAGTGAATCTAATGAAGGCTTGTTTTTAAATCTGACCAATTCTTCTAAGATGGCCCATTTATAAAGTTGATTAATTTTTTGTTCAGACTTTCCCTAAAACTCACTACCCATTCATAATGTATTTAACAGAATAGAATGGGATGGGAAAAAGGTCACTAAAATTATAGTTGTCTGTTTTTTGTGTGTTCAGAGAAAGGCAGTAAAAGAAACATAATTTTGATATTAAATTATCAATATTTAAATAAAACATACACTTTCTTTTCTGTGCAAAAGGTAAACTATGTAGTACATATACAGCATTTCAGTATGGCATAAGCCTATTACTGATATGTTAAATCAAAAGGAAGGAAAATGATACTCTAAGATTGAACTTATCGTCAACCATGATAATTAACAGACTTTGATTCAATTTAGTGAAATCTTATTTTTGCTTAAATATTGCATTCAAGAAATTATTAGAATCGTTTGGAGATTTTTATCTAAAAGTTCTTTAATTACTTGCAAATTAAAATATTAATTTATCATTGTGAGAAGTTTAAGAAAGCAACAAAATAATATGAACTTGTGTAAAGGATAGAATTCAAGGGATTCAGTGAATTCAGTCCTAAATAATTTTATTTAAAATATTCTGAATATTTATATTTGTTTATATGTGAAAAAGACCTATAAATTTACATATAAACCATGAGACCCTAAGACTACAAGTTTCCAAAGTGATGAATCGCTAGTATAAATGCACACATTTTAATTTCTAATTTCTAAATAATCTGTAGAAAAGTATCTTGGAAGGATTTATCTTTCAAAAATATATTCTGGTTTGAGTCCAAAATTTAAGACTTATATTTTAATAAGCAGTGGGAAATGAAACAAACAAAACACCTAGAGATTGTTTCAGTAGGCCCCAAGATGAGACTTCATGTCCTCCTCCTTCAGCATGTTCTGGCATCTGAATTCCAACCCTCTGTGTTCCCTTCAGGTGAGTCACCATCTGACCCTCGCAGGTTCAGGAAATACTCTTCCCTAGCCTACAAATCTCACCTACTCTAAGATGTGAGTCACATTAGCAAGAGAGCAAGTTGCTCCAGTTGTTCCGGAGCAGGAAAATTTGAAAGGGTTCCCTAAAGGACAGCCTCAAGAGGGCAAGGGAGCACCTAACTTCTCCAAGAGGGGAGAAAAATGCTTATTTTTCATGCTTTACCAGAAAACCTACTTCCCTGACAAGCTGAGTTCCAAGGCTCATTCATAGTTACAAGCCTGTTTCAACTTGAAGACATCGTATCAGGTGGATGGACAACCAGCTACTGCAATGAAAGGTAAATGAAAAATTTTTTTTTTATCATTTTCTTCCAAGTTGTGGTTGATAGCACACAGCTGTTATTGTGATAGTAATACTACTTCTGTTTGAATCAGAGGCCTCAAGAAAAAGTAGAAATTTGAATGCTTATTGTGTGAAATGCATGCGTCTACTCAGACAGAACCACTTTTTGACAAAGGAGACACATATCTTTGAGGTGCTTCACTGTTCACAACTCGGGAAGGAAAAAGTAAACTCTGCACTGTACCATAGGAAATGGAACAGTACTTGGGAAAGGACTTCTAGTAGGAGAAATTTTTATCCTATGTATGTTTCTAGATTAGTAAAATACAATGCTCCACCTAATTGTTTACCAAGATCCAAAATCTATCTCATTAATATTTATTCATATATTTTGTTAAGTGACCAAAAGAAAAAGATGATTTTCTGTCCCAATTCCTTTATTTTGATAAAAGAATTTAGTCTTTTCACTGTACCACAAATAACAGGGCAATTCTCACTCTGATTCTTTGAGAGATCATGTTAAAACATGTCAAGAAAGGCACATAGAAAACTGCCTAGCTACTGACAAGCAGATTAGTAACAGCTTACTTCTGTTTCATATTCAAGCTGTTAAAGAGATATTTTTGCTTCATTGAGGAAAGCAAGAGGCATGTTGATTTGAACTCTTTAAAGTTATAATTAGGATGGCCTGAGAGAGAGTAACTTTTTGAAGTATTAGATTAAGATATATTTACTATAGAATTTTCTATCATTTTTAAGACAAATCTGCTACATATAACTTTTTTTTCATAATTCTAGTTAAAGACTTCAACTTATCAGCAAAAAAAATTTAAAGTTTGGTTTTATAATCATATGGTATATATACACACATATATACATACATATACATATGGTATCATGGAGAGCCAGATACTGCTGTTATATTTCACTCTTATTTCTACCAGTTGGAAGTTAATAGTCTTTCCTTTTTGGAGTCAGGGATCAAAGAGCTTGTTCTTAGTCCTTTGGCAACATTCTATCCTAAGACTAGCATTCCAATATAGATTTGAAAAGTATTTCAGGCCTATCTGTATTAAGGAGAAGAGGCTAGAAGAACAATCAGACTGTTGAAACACATTTATGACTGTAGTCTAGAAAAAAAAATCCCTCAGTTTGAAAATCACAGCTATTTCACAAAGAAATTGAGAGGGAAATTTCTTATAGTATGCTGAGAGGGTTTATTGGTTCAGAACTATGGGCTGAAAAAATGATGTTTTTATTTAGGTTAGTGGGATTCATGGTCTTCAGAGAATTCCTGCTCCTCCTCTTCTTTGATATTTTAGGTTTTTATTTCCTTGAAGAACAAAAATATCCGATGCTTAGTATCAAATACTGAGAAAATACCACAGAAACTTTAAACAGAGGAACCAAAAATGTTACTTTGTATGCTTCTGACCAGAGAAACATTAGGAAAATCTATCAAACTCCCTCAAGGCTCACTAAAGGGATTGGGGATGAAGGGAGGAGTGAAGTGAGGTGACTTATTGGTAAAACTGGCTGTGAGCACACCACAGTTCTGGGAGATACTCAGCACAAACAAGGAACAGTGTTTGCTTACAGGCTGAAAGTCAGGACTCAGCTCTTTGGGAGATGACTATCCAAAGGTCACCACCATGACTTGGACAACCCTCTTACATCCCCAGGAGCTCAGTGCCCCTCATAGTAAATGAAGGAATTATATTAGATAGTCATTAGAAGGCCCTTGCCATCAGAGACCCAGGGGGTATTTGGAGGGGGGTCAGGATGTTTCAAGAGTGCAAGGCTAAGGCCAGAACACAAGGGAGCTAGAGGGCACAATGGGTGGAGACCACCAGGAGAAGCATTAGTGCTCCCCCACCCATTTCTACGCTGACCTTAATCAAATCTTGACTTCTTTAAGTCTCAGATTCTCTCTGTAAGATGGAGGTGAATACAGTTTGTTCCTACTGTAAAGTTTTACATTCATACTAATGGAAGCAGTAACTGCAATTCTCTCCACTTGAGACCATTTGAAACAAAGAGAAGAACAGAGGCAGCTCTTAAAAAAACTAGATGAGATGAGTCACATCAGAAACATCAAGTGAACAAGAAATGAAACCCAAACCTTCAGTGCTATGGTAAAAGTCAGGCTCTATCCTATTTCCTAACTCTCCACCTCCTTTGTACAGTAAATAGGGGCAGAACAGTTTTCTCAATCTTGCACCAAATAAATATTCCTTTCATTTTATTAACATTGCTATTAACCAAATACAGAAAAATTTACACTAAAATACATTTGAAGAGAGTTTCCCTGTTGACACATGGATTAAAGTATCAGTGTTATCAAACCTGACATAGACCCCAGTTTATCTTGCATGCATAAATACATAAAAGAAATCTTTAAAAGAATACATTTGAAGGGCAGTGATTTTCTAAAGATGCATTTATTTATGCATGCAAGAGCTGTGACGCAGGAAGAGGTTTGGGAGTAAGGGTTAGAGGATTCAGCAGTGACATACTGGAGAGCAGAACCAGAATGATCAAAATATTCTGCTGAAGGGAGCAGCAGGCAAGACAAGACATCATGTGGGTCAGCTTCCTGCCTGGGGATGGAACTTGTGCTGCAGTGGCTGCCGATAGCTTAGTTCTGGGCCCTTGCACCATCAGGGAGCCCCTGAACAGCACTGATTTTCAGTTGGTGTTAGACATCAAATTAAGTCATTCAAATTTTATATTAAAGCAATTTCTAATAATTCCTGTCACTCGGAAGTCAAAGGCAATACCCAAATGACTTTTTGTAATACATCAGATAGGACTCATGGTACAAAATAACAGTCAAAATCTATAGTGATAGCTTAATATATGTCCAATACTACTGCAGATTTTAACAGACCTATTTAAAAAATTCTCACACAATCATAACATAATTTACTTATTACCCCCATTCTGCAGGTAAGCAAACTGAAGCTTAAATTTTCCATGAGCATGTAATACAGCTGTGACCTTAGGCCATGTCAACCATGCTCCATAGTCACTACTTTTTAAGTTTTTAAGTAAACTCACTATTTCCTGTTAGTTACCAACATTTTGTGGATAGCTTAATAGGTAAAATTAGATGGATACGTGATTTATTCACAATACTTGACTTCAGAAGATAAATGGTTCTGTTTTGTGCATCATGCCCCCATCATGCCCTGAAATCAAATGGGCTACTTTATAGCCTATTTTTCTCCAAGAAAACACCAGATTATAATCAGCCCATGAATTACGCATTTGCATAGAAGTAGTTAAAAGCACAGCACTCAGACCAAGTTGTGTTCAAATCCAGGCTCTGTGTTTACCTGGGGGAACTCCAACATTTGAACAACAAACAAAACAGTGCTTGTCTGTTGAAGAAACCTCTGGAGTCTCAGTTTCTTCATTTGAAAAAATGAGGTACTAATTCTTACTATCTTTCAAGTAGCACCCTGTCATTAAAGTTTTACTCTATGCCAAGTTTCATAAAACATTTATAAGACCACATGAAGTAACACTGCAGTGATACCCCACATTCAAACTCTTAATCCGTCCTATGATGAATGCCTTACAGAAGAGGAAATGGAAGCATAGAGGGTTTAGGGAACATGCACAAGTAAGCGGCTGATCTGTACTCCAATATTCTTTTAATGAATTGAAACATATCTAACTAAAGTAGTCATAGACACATGATAATATTTACCAGCATTTTCAGAAAGCATTATCTTATTAACATTGGTGTTGCTGTAGTGCCTATTTAAAACACAGACTTTTCAGCTTTCAGTAGATCTGCCCATAGTCTGAACATGCTCTCAAGTGGCACTACTGGCTTAAGCCACCAGAGCAACTCTCCAGAAGATACAGAGTACAGGTAAACTACTTGAAAAACCACTTAAGTCCATGAATATAGAAGGTTTTTTTTTTTTTTTTGTTAAACAGATTCCAAATTACTTCCAAAGAATAAGCCAATATATGTTTCTTAAGCTAAAGAAGTTCATGACCTAGTTGAAGAAAAATAAGGTGTTGATACACATTAGAATACTTATTAGGTGGGTGATCTTAGGATTGAAGTTGCCAAGAGACATCCAAGATATCTGGATATACACGCACAGATACCAGCTACCTATAGACAGCAGGCATTTTAGGGTTTGACACACTCCTTTTGAGGTGAATGACTTACCTGTTCAAACTTGTCAGGCTCATACTTGCCAGACTTGAAGGTACAAATGAAACAGAAAATTTAAGTCACTAGTAGGTTTTTCAAAACAATTTAGATAAACTGGCTAAGAAACTATGATGGAGGGTTGAGGGTACCTTGTTGGTGGGCATGCTGTGGTACATACATCTGAAAAGGTATGATCCTATGCCTTTGAGTCAAATACAGAGTGGTATGTCAATGTTACCTCAATTAAAGAAACAACAACAACAAAAAACATACTCCATAAGTAAAAAAATAGTCTGAATATATAGAATAAACAAATTGAAAAATGTAAAATTAATTGCTTGCTAGATGCATTTATAAGTAGAATAGCCGTATCATACCTGAAAATAATGGGATTCTTAGGGCTTACAGTAACACATAATCCTTAAACAATCACAGCTGTAATAATTTTTGACTGTTTCAATCAAGCATTTTAAAGACCTGAAAATGAAAATCTTAAACTAGACATTTACTTTACAATATGCCAAAATGGTCTAAGCAGTGCACAAATTCTGAGTAGTAAAATGAATGATTCAAAAAGAAAAAAATGTCGTCAAGTGGTAACTACTATATAAATATGTTAGTATATTCTGATTGCTCTTGAATAAAGCTGTAATATCTATTAAACAGCAATATTCTATTTCCAACATCCATTCCAATATGATGATAATAACAACTATCTATATAAAAATGAAAATAGTATGCACTCAGTGCCCATAGCACTAGTAAAATACCTCAAGTTTTATCTCTACTTTTCACCCTCAGACCCAGAAATACATCTG